CATACCTACATACGTACATACGTACAGACGTACATGCATACATGCATGCATGCATGCATACAATCATGCATGCATACATACATACATACTTACATACATACATTCATTTCTTTTCGTTTCATTTTATTTCATTCCATTCCATTCCACTCCATTCCATCCATCTATCCATCCATTCATTTCATTCATTACGTCCTTCATTCATTCATTCATTCATTCATGCATGCATTCATGCATTCATTCCATGCCATTCCATTCCACTCCTTCATTCATTCATGCATTCATTCATTCATTCAGTCCATTCATTCATTCCGTTCCGTCATTCACTCATTCCATTCGTTCATTCCGTTCAGTCATTCCATTCATTCGTTCCATTCCTTCATTCCATTCATCCAGTCATTCATCCGCTCAATTCCATTAAATTCTCATTCATTCATTCATCCATCCATTTTCCCACCCGCCCAGCTGACACTGTCGCACCATCCATTCACTCCAGTCATTCCACTGATTCATTCATTCATTCATTCATTCATTCATTCATTCATTTCATTCATGCATTCATTCATTCATTCATTCATTTCCTTATTTCCTGCTCCCTTCCTTCCTTCATTCATTCTACATACATTCATTCATTATATATACAGTTATCCATTCATTCATTCATTCACTCACTCACTCATTCATTCATTCATTTCATTTTCAGTCATTCGTTCATTCATTCATCCATCCATTCATTCGTTCGTCCGTCAGCACATTCATTCAACCAATCATTCATTCATTCATTTGTTCATTCATTCATTCAATCTGTCGCTCACTCACTCCATTCGTTCATTCATTCGTTCATTCTTTCATTCAGCCATTCACCCATTCATTGCTTGATTCGTGTACACCTGCTATATACATGTATAGTCATGTACATAACAAATGTGTGTATGTGTGTATATATATGTATATATATATATATTGATCTTTGTTTGTGTGCGTGTGTGACGTATACATTGTATTCGAATCACAGGTTTTGGGCGTGGCGTTTAGGGCCAAAAACGGGGAGCGAGGATCGAGGCACGGTCCGGGCCGTGTTCCCCTGCCTGGAACTCGTACCAGTTGCAGCGGTTGGTGGCATCCTTGTCCAGGATGCGCTTCCAGGCTTTCAGATACTTTCCCATCTTCGCCTCGGAGCGACGGAGAAGCTTCCAGGCTTTATGGGTGTGAGGTTTAGTCTAAGGTTGAAACCTGCTACACACCCATATGTACCTTTAAGGGTCCCAAGCAAGGCCTGATGGTCCATATTAGGGGCCCATTCTTCTAACCGATTTAGGGAACCCTGAGCTACGTCCTCGGACCTGGAACCCGATCAAGCGCAGCATGGCACTCTACACGAGGAAGGCTTCTGGTCAAGGCAGCCCCGGCAGCTGAGATGAGATTCTACCTTTGTGAGCAACCTCCCGAAACAGGTCAGAGAGCAATATTTCAGGCTGGACAACAAAAACGAAAAGAGCCGTGCAAGATCGGCTTGAAGCAAGAGGCGGCATGGCCCGCATGGCCGATTCTAAGGCCTGGGCAAGCAAGAGCTCCCGAAACTCCTGCTTGGCCTGCTGATCGGGAGCCATCAAGAGGAACTCGAGTGGCTGCCATTTCCTGAGCCAGCTGTAGGCTACAGGGCTTCGGGCTCAAGGCGTTTATGTGTTCAGATCTTCAGTCGGATTAGGGCTTGAAAGGTTTCTCTCCCAGCCGCCCACCTGAAACAGTCGCACCCACGGGGAATTCGTTCGAACTGAACTGACCGGACTGAGGGCAAGTCCCGGGGGGGAATACTACACGCCTCCTGGTGAAAAGGTCGTGTGGCTCAGGGTGAAGGTAACGGCCTTTCATGTCGTCTGGTCCAGGGTGCTATGCAGCCATGGACCAGCACTGAAGCTATCCGGCTGACGCTTAGTATTCGGGGCTACGATGAAGGTCATCATCTCATTGTCATCAACATCTCCTCATTCTTTATGGTAACCTGTCATACACATTTTAAACTCATCACCACCGCCGCCATCACCCTGACGACGATCGCGACTGCTACTGCGACGACTGAGGACTACTGCTAAGCACTGCTACTGCTACTGCTCTGGAAGTCAACATGACAACCTATACTTGCAGCTACTTTTCAGACTACATATACTCCCACCATATTCGATGGCCACCAGAGAGAGAGGGCGTGCCCAACCCCTGGATTTTATGGTGTGCTCGCTTCCCCAGGCAGTGCCCTGAAGGTCAGTTCCTCCTGAGCGTTGAAACGCCAGGAAGCTCAAGGAAAATAAGATCTTCCATTTCCAGCTTTCCATTCGCGTCCTGGCAAAGCTCCGAATCTCAAACCACTGGGGAACTACCATTGCCTACTGTTTCGTGGGATCTGGATGTTGATACAGACCCTAATACAAAGCTATAGAATCCCGAAGTTGTTTCAGGTAGGCACTTACCGGAAAGATTCGGAAGTTAAAGGCGGAGTGCTGAAGAATGAATTTGGTATTGGACCCTACTGCCATTTGTCAATAACTGGTGCTTGCACCAAAAAAGAATCAGTAGTGATATACAACAAACTTCACCCCCTCTGAACTTCTCCTGCCTCTGTACCTGTCTTCTGGTCCTGTAGCTCGGCCTCTCTGCCAAGAGCCTTGAGTCTCAGAGAAATATGGAAAGTGCTGTAGAGCCCTTACAAACCCCACAAAGCCCCTGCAAAACCCTGAGAAATCGTATAACGTCCTACACTGTAACGTCATTGGGACAAGCACTTCCAGAAAAAGCACCCTGTTGACCCCAGCTTTCTTCTACTCACCAGAAACTCTACACCGTGGCAGCATTTTAGCGTTCATATCACTATAATCAACATAAGCCAACAATAAATTGAAATATATCTATATATATATATACATATATATAAGTATGTATGTATGTATATATATATATATTATGTATCTGTGTGTAACTGTGTGTATGCCTAAACTGCCAACGGACCAGCCCTGAACTGCGTCAACCCGGCTGCAGGTCCTTGTCCAGCATCTGGAACCTTGGAATCGCTTCACAGATTGGGGCGCATAACCGAGAACCAGAAAGGACTGTTGCGCAAACCGCTCTAATGACACTATACCAACCATCGTAGAGGCAGCAGCCATGGAACCAGGAATACAATACGAGGACGAGCATCCCCTAGGCTTGAATCATCCCCACGCACCAAAACAGAGACCGGCTCAGAGATCAGGCAGGAGCTCTGTGCTGAAGAGCCCTCCTCAGCGATTTCAACCCTCAAGTTCGATAGTGCGAGCCACGCTTTCTGCCGCAGATCGGAGCTTGAAAACTGTGGAAGTCTAATTATGGACGGCTTTTGTCTGCAGCGCCGCTTGACGATTCTGGCAAAGCCAGGGTTGGACTGAAGACTTGCCATTGGTGGTTTCGGGTTTGGGGGTATCGCGTTCACGCTCTCACAAACTGGCACGGCCAGATGAAGCCTCTAGGCTCCTGGTCGGTTCTGAGGGCATGCGAAGCTGCAAGTCCGCAAAAGAACGCAATCAACAAAGAGACCAAGTTCTATGCTAAGCAAGACAAGTAACGAAACGATTACAGATCCTGCGTTAATCGAGACCAGAAAAGGACTTCTACAAACCTGCATGTGTGCACGGGACATTGCCACGTGGCAAACTACTCGACATCTCCCGCAAACTCACCCCGCTTTTTTGCTGCGCCAAGGGCGCACGCGGCATCGGGTTCTCTGTTCAGGAACCTTCAAATCAGCTGTCGGGCTGTGACAATGACCGTTTGCTGTCAACACAAATAACTACAGCACGCCGTCAATCAAAAAAGTGCTTCACATGCTAGGACCTGAGGGTCCCTGTAGACCATGAGGAAGGGCTCCCGTGGATGTGCAACTCAGAATGAGCTTGTTCCTTTCTTGTCTTGTCACGTGCATCGTGGCAGGGACCTGGCAGCCGAAACTCTTCCGCAGGCCGTTGAGAGTGAAGAACATGAAGGAACACACCCTACGTCCTTCTGTCACAGAAACTTGGTCGTTTTGATGGTTCCCCCAGATGGACAGGACGTCGCTGTGCACCCATCCCTAGCTCCCGGGCGCCAGCTGTGGAATACTCGGCCGCGGAACATTCTTTGGTTCAGCCAGCCGCTGCCCCAGCAGAACGTGGCCCAAGGCTCGTGGCTCCAGCCGCGGGTGGATCGCGATCCTCTGCCCACGCGACAAAGACAACGTATTCGGGTCAGGTAGTCTGGGCACCTCACATAGAGAACGGAGTTCTGCATCTGCTGCAGACGCTGAATCACGGCTTCCAGGTGCTCGCGGCACGAACTCCTGAAGTTTGTCGGGTTGCGTGAGGTTGGCCAAAAGGTCCCCGGCCGGGGCGCCAGCCGTGCTTTGCGCCAAAACACCGAAGTCAGAGGCGTGTCCTCGAGCATTGCTTCGTACCCAAGAAACCTGTGGATTCCTATATATGGCTCACCCTTCTTCATGTAGTGCATCCTCCTGAGGCGGTCTGTAAGCTCCTCGCGCACATGCTCCAGGATCAATTGGAACTCGAAGGCTCGATCCAGGATGCCGGCCAAGCATGGCGCTGTGCTAGAGCCTGCATGCCGCAGTTTCCAGGAGCCGGGTTGTGCTAGGCCGCAGGCTTCGCGTGGGCCGCGCACGGCGGCCCACAGGCCGTGGTCGTGACAAGGTGCACCCTCGGGCGGTCGTCTCCATCTACCCCGCCCGGTGTGAATCGAACCTCGTCCGTATACCTAAAGAAGTTGAGGCGCAGCAGGTCAGTGCTTGAAAATCTGCAAGTCCACGAAGTCCAGTGGCAGCCGAACGGCGCGGCTGCCGGAAGTCACTCGCTGCTCGGATGAGGAGGCAGTGGGTGTATCATTTCCGATGCTACTGGCTGGTCTTAATGTTCGGGTAATGGCCTTTAATAACCCAAGCTGTAAATGGAAGTCTCATCCTCGGAGCTTCGCTGCATGGACCGTTTTCTTCTGCTGCTCGAAGAGTAATATCCCCGTGCCAGGCACTTGCGCAGCGCTTCTTGTACCTGCGCCCGCGACCACTTCTGGAAACGTGGCACCACGGTGCTGAACGTCATCGAAATTGACTGCCAAGGACATCGTTCTGGCTCATGAATCCCTGAACCGTCCGATGAATCGCATCCGAGACCCATCTCTTCACCAAGTCGAAGACAGCACTGTGGCGGGAAAGCGCGACTGCAGATTGCGGTCCGGGAAGCGCCGGGAATGTGCGAATATGCGCGGGCATGCGCGAGTATGCCTGAGTATGCGCGGCTATGCACGGGTATGTCGGGTACGCGGGTATGTGGGAGTATGCACGTGTATGCGCGAGTATTGTATAGGTACCAGCGAGTATGCGCGGCTATGCACGAGTATTCTAGTAACTATAACGTCTATAGTACACGAGATACTGTAGACTGCTGCTATGCATTGCAGTGCTACTCCGGCGTACTCTAGCATATTGGAGCATACTCGAGCGTACTCGAGCATACTCGAAGGCACTCGAGCGTACTCGAGCATACTCGAGCGTACTCAAGCGTACTCGAGCGTATGCGCGAGTACTCGGAGTGCAGTCGCCCATCGCGTCTGCAATGGAAGAACATGTGCTTGTCCATGTGTTTTATGTCCATTGGACACGGCACCGGGGTCACTGAAGAGATGCTTTCCGGCTAAATTATAATAGTCTGAGCTAGCCGGGGCTTCGACTCGGACACTCACACAGGGCAGGCACGGACTCAAGCGAAGCGGTCCCAGCTTACGGGGGACCGCCAACCTCCACTGCAGGCAAAGAGAACTCGCAATCGCACAAGCCGGCGCAAAGCCCAGATAACTAGAGCAGGCTTGAGGACTAAACTTTTTTTTGAACCCAGACTCTGCCCATCAGCTGGGCAAACCCTAAACTCCTAAAACCCCTACCTTCAGGGCCCCCCCCGGTGCCCCTTGGCAACCGGGCCACAGGGCTTTCGATTGCCTCGGGAAGTTGAAGTTCCGAAGGGCCTTCTCGAACTCCTTGATCGTGATGGACCTGGGCTCTTGCTAAGGAGCTTACTCAAAGTTGCGCGAATAATAAGAGCCTCATAACAATAATAATAATGCGAAGAATGCTATTCATGATAGCAATCACATGTTTCTGCTCCTTGCATTGCTGGGCCAATAACAGAAAATAAGAACAATACTCTTGTGAGTTGGTGTTGCCCTGGAATCAATGATTGCATGAAACGTGTTTTTTTCTGTGAGGCTTCCTGTAATCCTGCTTGCGAGTGTTTAGCCTGTGCCGCTGCTTGCGAGGAACTGCTTGCTTGCCAGTAAATTGTTGAGAGACCGGGCACAGGAAGCCTCACAAGAAACCTCAAAGGGCGTGGAAGGGCCTAGGCGAGGGAGCTGGGGCAGAGGCCGGGACAGGGGCCGGGACAGCGCCGAGGGGAGCGGGACCTCACAGGAAGCCTCGCAACACCCAAACCCTGACAAAAACCATCATAGCACACCTTACACCGAACCTTGCAGACAATCTTTCAGGACTCTTTCAGGACTTCTTTGACCACACAGCCTCTCTTACAGGAACCTCAGAGGGTTCTCACAGAAAGAACCTTCTGGCTGCTCAA